ATTCCCGGTGCTCTGGCCTTTTTAGGAAAAAAAAAAAAACCAAACAAAATATTTTCTGTAGTACCACTCAGAATTTTTTACTCGTCCTTTTGGTGAGTAGGGTTTTTACTGTAAGTTTTAAATGAGAAATTAGAAGACTATATTTAAAATTTTGATTAGTAAGTGCACAGCTAGCTTCAAAGGACAGTGGAGAGAGAAAGAAACTAGTTTTTATATGGAGCTTGGTGAGTCCATTTTCTTGCAGTAGCAGAATGTGAGTTTGATTTACTAATTCAGAGGCCTCTTCCAGTCATAGACTCGGGAGAATAAGTTTGGTTTTGTTTTACACAGGGTGGATGTGTGTGCCCCGGTGGAAGTTCAGTAAGTATTCTTTGTCTTTGTATATTTTTCATAGTATGTACACATACTGGAAAATTCCCAAGGAACTCCATTTCTTTAAATAATTCTGTCTGTGAATTTATATGTATGATGAAAGTTTTTTTCATACTGTACTAAAATGAGAAATTTTGAACCTGCTAAGGACAAAAATATTAAGTGACTTGCAACTGTAGTACTGTATTCAAAACTAGCTACCCAGATGCATTTCTATTTTCAAAGAAATACATGGGAAATAAATTGCACTTTCCCCTCGCTGGATTGAACAAGTAGTAATGTTCTCCAGTATCTGTATTAAAGGAAGACTAGTGCTAATTCTGTAAAATACCCAGACATGAAAAACTGCTTCAAAGCATTTAATTTCTTTTGGTCTGTAAGAGAGGCCTGGGACTTTTCTAAGAATCTGTTTCCCAAATATCTCATAGTATATCTGCCGGGTTTTGGACACGTGTGTAATAGTGCTCTTCTTATGATGGTTATTAAGAGTATAGTTGAACTAGTGAAACTTAGATCTAAAATCTTGGCACAAAATGCTTCCAAGTAGGAGCAGAGCAACGCGTTTTAAAAGTTAAAGCTATTTCCATTTTTCTGTCTAATTAGTATATTCTCTATACTTTTGTAACTACTTTAAAAAAAAAACAAAACAAAACACAAACCACCACTGATTTGCTGAAATTAATCTAATTTACTTTTGAGGGAGGGTTATCTGTTGTCCCAGTATAGTCAAAATTGTTTAGATGACTACTTCTCTTTCTCGGATTATGAAATCAAGCAAAACTCACATGCCATAAGTAATAATATCACTCATGGTATATATGCCACTTCTGAGAATCAGAAGTGCTGAAAACAACGTATAAATTATCAACTTACTTCTCTTTGCAAGCAAATAATCTGAAGGAATAAGGATGAATCGAAACTAAATCCTTTACTTGCTTAATCAACCAAATAGAAAAGTATACTAGTAATCAGGGTAAATGACTTGATCATTGCAATAGGTCAGTAGGTTCTCTTGTTTTTCCTCTACGTGACATTGAATTTAATACAGAGTAAACATTGCTATTTTTGTTGAATACAGGGCTCTTTTGGAGGAAACAGCTACCATGGTGTACAGGTAGGCAATTTGTCTTTAACATTTACACAGACTAGTTCCTGAGGAATAAACACGGCTCAGTTGCCATATTTGCCCAGAAGCCATCAAATATTGAGTTCAGTTTAGTCACAGAGATAGGGACAATAATTCCAGAGAGTGCATGTGGCTTTTATTGAATCACTCTTGACATTTCAGTTATATCTTTCTATATACTAGAGCCAAGATTTTACTTTGTAGTTATAGAAGCTTTCTTACCTTGAAAAAATACTGAAGAATAATTCACAGGGTTCATCTCATTGCATAAACCACTAATATGATGTGCAGATAAGTAGCCATTTGCCACTGCGTTAATAACCGTGTAAAGTTCTTCCAGTTAATCAGTGTCATGAGTATTGTTTAGATTAGTTTTTTTTTATGGCAGGTGGTATTTAAAAAAATTATTTACAAAAGTTTCACATTCTTTTTACAGGGTTCATCGTATTCTGGAGGCAGTCAGTATGGTGGACAGGCAAGCAACTTTTCTTTGTTTTCAAGATCTTCCTCCTACTTGCTATTTATTAAATGAAAAATATGATGCAGTGCATATACTGCCAGTCAGTTTTTTCAGAGCCATTTTACTCTCAATAAACATCTGAAAACAGGGACCGTTTCTCAGTAACTGAAATGGAGCATGAACAAACTTGAATTTAAAGAAACTGCATAGATGATAATTTTAGTTGTTTTACTTCAGAATGCCTCTTATCTCAAGAGATAATTTTAATTAACCATTTTTATGTTTCAGTTTCACATTGCTATGACACCAGTTCAAAATCTATTTTCTGTGTTATTTTTCAATTATATTGAAATTATTCTTTTTTTTTGCATTTGTTTAGATTAAATACTTGGAAATTTGGTACAAAATATACCAATAGATATTGCTTTGAAAATATAAATTCTGGTGTGTTACCCACAATAATACTACCTTCCTCATCTTCAGCTGCAATTCGAGTCTCTTACTGTAAGCAGCTCCCTATGTACCTTTTGTAGACTTAGTAGTTTGTCACTGATGGAGAAATCTTACTAGCCCAAATAGTTATCAGATGTAATGGATGGCTGTCTAATAAGAAGGTGGAACATATTTTTCATTAGTATTACTCTGTTCGCAAAGTTTCACTCTGCTATCCTAAAAAATGATTTAATTTCTTCTATCTCCATTGGCAAGCATTTGAGTTCAGTATCACTCTATTAAGATCATTTCTTGTAGCATGGTGAGGATTTTTAAAAGCCGCAAAACAAATTTTTCCCAAATTACTCATTTGGAACAATAAGGATGCTCTTACAATAATACACATGATGCTTTCTGAACACATTTGACCTAGCAGCAAAACACAAATAAAGTATAATTTTTTTTTTCTCTTGAACAGAGCCATATTTAAAAACACTTTATATCCGCATATTTATGTCAGAGAATAGTCTTAGCAGGTGTTTTGTGACTGTTGGCCAAATTTACTACTTTCAACTGTTAAGCAACTTAGAGGAATTAAGTCAGCAGTCTTTCACTGCATCCTTTTAGATCAATATACTTTCCAGATTCCTACTAAGGTCTCCTGTCAAAAGGTCCTTCTGTGATGTTTCATTCTGCACAGCAAATAAAAAATACAAAACTGCTGTTATTCTGCCAACGCTTAAGCACTTAAGTTTCCTGTGATTTTTTTAATAGGGATCTTCTCCCTCAGGAAGCAGCCAGTATGGTGGGCAGGTGAGTATATTCTCTTCCCGTCCCAACACTCCTAACTCTTTCCCTGTACTGTCCGGATCAGGTCAGTTACTTGATGCTGAAAGATACATTCATTTGGCCATTTTACTGAGCCTAAATAGTTGAGGTAGTATCGATTAAAGTCGTTTCAGCAAGCTGAATAAAAAATTGGTTACAATGAATTACTGCTCTGTGTAAAACGTTCCTTTGAACATACTGTAATCGTTATACTGTATTTCATAACACTGTTTTCTTGATTCAGAATAACAAATTGCCATTGTTTCGGTGTGCAGTAGATAGCTTAAGTTTTAGGTACCCCAGTCACTTTTTGTTCAAACAACATCCAAGTTTGTCCTAAGTACTGCAGTCACTTTTTGTTCAAACAACATCCAAGTAAGTTTGTCCTAAGTACTGTACAAATTGTCTCAAGACAGTGACAGAAGATTTTTTCATTCAATTAACAGATGTTTGATTGACTTCTTACAGGGCTCATATCCTTCTGGAGGCAGACAAGATGGGAAACCAGTAAGTAAACAAATTTCAAGTTTACCTTTCTTTTTTCTTATAAGCCTGTTAAAAAAATTATATCGAGTTAGTTATGGGCTAGACATTTTTCTGAGAATTACTTAAATATGCGGAGTGTCACATGATTTACTTACCTGGGATAATCTCAACAAATGCAAACACAATATTTATTTTCACACAGTTCCATAGTTTTGAGCCAGCATTTTACTCTCTAACTGAACTTCTAGTCAGTCTCTGGATTAGTTCTAGTAGTCACAGAATGGGATTACAGGGTCTTTTCTTTTTTGTAAGTGACTTCTGAACAGTTATTTCTGTTTAAATTCATAGTAATCATACGCTTTGTGCTCAGCGCTCACTTTTTCATTCATTTTATATGCATTTGTCTTAAGTTTTTCTGGCTTGCTTTGAAGAAAATACTTTCTTTTTCTTTTTGAAGGAAATAATAGTTGAGATTCGACTATGCGTATTTTCCTCTTTTCCCATTTCAGACCACTCTTCTTACTATGTAATTTAGACCTTGCTCTTGTTGTCATTCAACGGCAGGAGATATAAATAAGCACACACAATGTTTTAGCTTATCTCTTATAGAAAGTAAGATGTATCCACCTGTTATTAAAAAGTGGGCACAAATGTTACATTTTTCTTATACATGAATCATAAAGGTGAGACATTTTGTGTACCATATTTGATGAAATTTTTTAAAGAGTCAATGCTTGTAAGATTTCCTGTTGGCAATGCCATTCAAATAAGGAGAGCGACTTTGCCAGAAAACTGAGTAAGACTCTTGCAGAACATGTAATTTTTCACTATCTGCATTTATTTTCAGTTACATTCCTTATTAGAGCTTTCTTCAAGTAGGGCTGTAAAGGACTCTAACATTTACCTTTTTTTTTTTTCTTTCTTCTCCCCTCCCTCCAAATCTAACTGTAGACTGATTCCAGGTGAATTAATGTTAGTCGGACCTTATTATTTTTTCCTTTCTATTAAACACGTCATAACTACAAACCAGCTCTTTCTTCTTGAGAACTTTGAATTAAATTCTCTGACTAATACACCATTCAAAAGAATACTTGTAACAGAAAGATGTTAAATATTTGTATTTCAGATAAGCTTTTCCCTGGGATTTTTGGATGACTGGACACAAAATAGTGTTCTTTCTCCTGTGGTCCTTTATTCCAGATAGCAAGAACACGCTGAAGTACAAATAGGCTTAGAGTTGAAAACGGGTATCTTTTTTCAGGGTTCATCTTCCTCAGGAGGCAGTCATCAAGGAAAGCCAGTAAGGATATTTTTCTTTCAGTATTCCACAACCAAGTTAGAAATATAGAATCATAGAATAGTTTGGGTTGGAAGGGACCTCTAAAGGTCATCTAGTCCAACCCCGCTGCCGTGGGCAGGGACATCTTCAACTGGATCAGGTTGCTCAGAGCCCCGTCCAACCTGACCTGGAATGTTTCCAGGGATGGGGCATCCACCACCCCTCTGGGCAACCTCTGCCAGTGCTTCACCACCCTCAGAGTAAAAAATTTTCTTCCTTCTATCTAGTCTAAATCTAGCCCCTTTAGTTGAAAGCCATTCCCCCTTGTCCTGTCGCAACAGGCCCTGCTAAAAAGTTTGCCGCCATCTTTTTTATAAGCCCCCTTTAAGTAGTGACAGGCTGCAAGAAGGTCTCCCCCAAGCCGCCTTCTCTCCAGGCTGACCAACCCCAACTCTCTCAGCCTTTCTTCA